GAGCAATGGTATAAAGTCACGTCGAATCTCTGGTGGAGTGGGTTTCGATGGAGCCAACCGTTACCATTGAACTCTTTTGTTTGCCGCTGAATTCGTAATTGCAGTAAGCGGCCGCATCGTATCAAAGTACTTGGAGGGTAGACTGGTAAAACGGAGGTAGCTGCACCCCATTTTGGAGACCATGTACAAGCTGGACAACAAAAAAGCAACGCAACTCCTCCGTCCTGTGGCTCATGAATTATGAGGAGTAAGAAATGCACAAGCGCCGCGTTTGACTGAGTCGACAGAGCTACTCGCTGGAGTTGTCTACTGAGAAGAGGAGTGTCCGAGAAGTATGTCACCTTACTTCAGGCCATCTACTCTCAAACCTTGGGCCGAGTGCGGGTGTACGGCGGACTTTCACCCCCCTTACTATCACCAGTGGCGTGAGACACGGATGAGCAGCATCCCCCTTCTTGTTCAATTTCGCTATGGACGAAATTGTGGAGTGTGCTCTGGACAACTGCAAGCCCAACGGTGTCGAACTGCTTCTCGGGGGATCGACTTCGTGATTTGGAGTAGGCAGACGACATGGACGTAATCTGCGATTCCTCACATGTCACCCAAAATTTCTTGTGTATGTTCGAGATGTCTGTTTCCCAGTTTGGAATGACCTTCCCACTATCGAAATGTAAGGTCTTCCTACAGGACCGTTTAGACCCTTCTCCTACCCTTACCCTTTCAGATCATTCATTGAGCTTGGTAGATAAATTCTTTTACATCAGAAGCTGCGTCAGTGCTAACGGTTTAATGGATGAGGTCTCTTTGCGCCTCTCCAAGGCTCCGGTTGCTTTTGCCAATCACCGCCATCTCTGGAGCCGAGGTGCTTTGAGTATATCTGAAGGGTACAATGCCCCAGTCAGAGCGGTTCTGCTCTATGGCTGCGAGACCGCCTGTTCGCGCAAATGATTTTGAGAGGATGCCTGTTTTTGATCCCCTTTGCCTTCGGTGCATTGCTGGTGTACCATGACAAAAGCACACTAGTAATGAAGACGTTTGACGGAAGATTTTCAGATCAGACGGACTTTGCCGGCCACTGAGCAGCATAATTTCTCTGCGCAGACTTCAGTGGCCTGGACATGTTCTTCGCACACCTACTCATCGCTTTCCTCGCCGTGCCCTCTTCGCGAAGCAGAAGTTGGCTGCAAGGGAAAACAAGGTGGCCAACATATGAATTGGGCGAGGATCATGAAGGGGCTAACGTCAAATTTATCTAAAGAAAATCTTGTCGTAGGCCGAGGTTAATGGTTAATGATCGTTACTCGTAAGTAGGAATCATTGGACCGTTAGTTGCTCTCGTGCTAAGCGACGGGGGTGTGGTTTTATATTGGGTGGGTGGGGCCGGAAAAACGCTAATGTCTGTCCCAGTGTCACCGAAAAAGCGGAGACCAGAATTTTTATCTAGAAGAAGCAAACGGCGAGTGTTATGGTGGTGGTGACCTTGAACATTACTCACCTCTAATATCCAGCGTACCCATTTCTTGACTGTGAAGTTGATGAACGGATAGTCGATCGAAATGATCAAGGTGGTGTGCATTTACGCGCTAGGCGACCAAACGTCTCATGGTAACAAATGTGCTTTGTGTGCCTCTGTGAGGAGACTGAGCGTGAAAGTGGGCACTCACATGAATGGCTTTGGAAACGCGGTTATGTTGTAACATTGCGATTTGCTGTGCTAAGTCTTCATTATAGGTGTTGATGGCGGGAAGCACAGAAGAAAGATTAACAATGTTCAGGTTGGTAGCACTATGCTGAATTTCTAGAATTCCGTCCGCCATTTTCACCCGTGGAGATAATGGAACGTTGTCGGTATTTTCCACGAGGACCTATTGAACATGAGTGAGTGCTTGTTTGAGGAATAGTTGTCTGAGCAACAACTCGTCTATCTGTCGATCACCAAGAATGTTCCTAGAGACGATGTGAGAACGGAGGCTGCCTTGTGTAGACAACATACCGTCACAAACAGCTGGCTATCGTGCAAAGATAAGACGGCATCGGCGAGACAGATTCCTTGCGGCTTTCACTGCTCCGCATCATAATCAGCCATTACCCCGCAGATAACTCAGCACCGAACACACTTTAAGCAGCCAATCCGACTAGGAGACGACAGCAGACGCGCCAGTGATGTCGGTTGCGAGCCATGTCTTGTAAAGTCTCAAGCCAAGCACAAGGCGAGTCAAGTGGACTCCAGCCTGGAAGGCGACACGGACCAAAGGCACCCAGTTTGGTTGTCAGTGAATTCATTTCCCGCTGTTAAGTCAACTTTTGTCCACCTCGAGCCCCTGCGCCACCCTACACCTGGCAGACAAAACAAGGCCCTTCTAGGTAAGCGGTGATCAGGCATACGTAGCACTTGCCCCAGCCAAGGCAACTAGTTCAGTGTGATGTGTTGTTCACGGGAGCTAGCATGTTTAACACTACCTAGTACGCGTCTACGCACATCGTCGTTGCGGACACGTTGGTGCCATTCGACACCAGCAATAATTCGCAGACAACGGTAATCAAATAATTGTAGGCGCCTCAGATCTTCAGACTGAAGGGGCCAAGTCTCATTCCCATAGAGCAGAATTGTCCTCACTGTGGCTCGATATACCTGTCTTTCAGACGGAGGCAAAGCTTCTTTTGTCGTCAAAGATGCTGCAGGCCCAAGAAAGCAGTTCTGACCTTTGCAATGCGTGAATTGACGTCAGATTCTCTGTGCCCATCGTTGCTGATGCAGCTGCCAAGATACGTGAATTGAGCAACCACCTCGAGTTCCTCGATAGCATGGGTCAAGTAGTCATAAGGTGGCTGGTGGTCCAGCAGCAACACTTTGAAGTTTTATGGTGCGCAGGGCGTGCCAACTAATGGGACCACTGTAGACAGGGTATTCAGGGTTGATTGTGCCTCCACAACGTCGTCGAAAAGCAAGACGATATCGTTCGCATAATGAAGATCAACTAATCTTTTGCCAAGCAGGACTTCAACGCCTGCATCGTGAGATTCCGCAAGGGAACACTCGATGATACGATCAACGACGAAAGGGAAGCGAAATGAGGAAATCGGACAACCCTGACGAAAGCCACTTTTGCTCGGAAAGCTATCCGATAGGTCACCGTAGACCCTGACGCGGCCTGTAGTGTTCGAGTATAGGGCACGAAGAATGTTTCCATATTTCGTGCAAACACATTTCGGCGCAAGTATTTCGAACAGAATCGATCGATGAACTGAAGCGAACGCACTATTGAAATCGAGATACAAATCTATTGTCCGTCGGCGGTATGTGTGGTGCGGCTCTATAATCTGCCGCAGAGTGAATATATGATCTATACAGCCACATCCTCGGCGGAAACCGGCCTGCTCTTCCCGAGCCCGAGATTTCCGTTTCACAGTGCGGCGACGAATGAGAATCGAGGCCAGTAGTTTTGTCACAACTGGAGTTAGGCTAATGCCCTCGTAGTTAGTACAGTCTGCGAGACTGCCCTTCTAGTATATTATCACTATAATCGATTCGCTCCAATTAGCCGGAACACTCTCTTCCTTCCAGATAGGTTCGAATAGGGAGGTCAGTGCTTTGCAGAGGACCTCACCTCCATCCTTAAATAGTGCAGGTTTGATGGGATCCGGACATTTGGGAATCCGGTGATACCTACACTAGCTTGACCCGTGAGTGCTGCATCGGCGTCTCTGGATGCGTGCAACCAATAACGATAGGATAAGCCAAGTGAAGTTAATTCAACAACCCCATTTGGGTCATTGATCCTAGTTTCGGACACACCACACACTCAATACTCAGTGTGTCCAGGGTGCGTGCGAGTGCGGCCCGTTGTCCTATTTGTCTTAGAGTGCGAACGTTGAACGTCCCCGTGGAAACGGGGCAGGGTGGCCATCTAAGGGACTGCTGCCGATAGGCCTCCGGTGCTTGTCGCTGGGTGGCTGCCGATGTTTCTCCAGTGGCACTTCGGTTGATGTCAATTAAGTAGGGCATTACAGAAGGAAGATTATTAATGGGGGTCGGGATGGCAATAAGAGAAACAGGTGGACAAAAGAAGGGAGGCGCCAGCAGTAGCACGATTTTGCTTATCCGCCCTGATGTCTGCATCAGATAAGGCGACCCTTGATAATCTGCGCGACGGTCGATCCAGGATGAAGTTTATATTTGAAGAAATGGTCATGGTTGTATTTGGGCTGAGATACTGCCATGGCGCTCAGTCCTAGACAGGAAGAAGATTAGGGTCCTTATCGAAAGCCTTTTACTCAACAGCCTGTCCGCGGGGCAGCGGGGAGGTGGCGATTATTTAGTTTTACATAAATGGAAGCCATCCCATTTCAAACCCCCATCCTGGAGGACCTGGAGACTGAGTTTTTCTGACCGCTCACCATTGACCAACCTGGTAGGAGTAGCTATAAATGGGCCTGGTTACACCACCCAGTATAGATCAATGATCCAAAGGTAAGCAAACCGTCGCATCAATTAATGGTCTAGTCTAATCGAAACAGAACTACGACTGTATTATTAGTCAGGCGATGAATGGTGATTTTTTCACCGGTGTTCATTATAGACGATTGTTAGCTTTTTCTATCTTTTTCGGCAACAGTATACGCAAAACTGCAACGGGATACCGTATACTTGTTTATGCAATATTCCATGCTGTACACTTATTTCTTTGCTAAACGATTTAGTTGTTTACTACATCAAACGAGGGTTAATAGTGGTGCTAATAAGAGCTTAATTATCCGTAATTACCCGCATTGGTGAATGGTTACATTAGGTATTTTAAACAGTATTTTGATAAATACAACGTTTGTCTCAGGTACGTAACTAATTCATCAAGCAATATTCAGTCAAATGCGGTTATCACACACAAACTTGTTATTTCATATACCATATAATAGTGTTAATGGAACTAAATTTTGCCTCTGCTGACGGTGCAATGCCGCACCATATTCTAATGACATTACTCATTTCCACCACCGTACAGGAACAACACCAACTGCAGTCATTACTGTTGCGTCAACCACGACAGCCAAATCCACCATCAGTCCAGGTAAGTGCATGTACGATTAAGGTATCTTTCCTAGTTGATGAATGTTGGTGTTAGTGAGGTCTAACCGTCACTGGATTTTCCACCGGCTGAATATAAATAGTCTGTTTTTACACCTTTACACTGACTAATCATAATCATGGATAATCTATTGTCTAACACACACAGTCTAGAAGGCTGAGAACTTTTGAAATCAAACCTCGTGCCCAATCTGCTAAAAAATAAATTGTGCTACGAATCACTCCAAATAATGCTCCGATAAGTTGGGTATTTCTTTCGTAAATACAGCAACTGAACAACCAGTAGAAAGGTTAGTTGCTACAAAAAGATCTATTTTCGATAACTCACTCAGGCATTTACAGTTAATGGAAAACTGGTTACAACACGATTTGCTATGTAAAGCTGCAGTATTGAGTGGTTAAGTCACATTTTAAGGGAAGCTCAATGAGGTAATAGACAGCTCAGTCAATGCAATCGGGTGGTAAAGTTCACGTGCTTTCACATCCCAAACAATGAAACATATCAAGAAAGAAATGATTACTTTAGCGTCAAGGCTCACAGTTAGTCATGGACAAAGGTAGGTACGGACGGCGTCAAATATTCTGGCCAAAGCAGCGTGAGCGCTTGTACAAGCTTCCTCTGCTTGCATAACTACGGTTGCAGCAGCGTGATAGCCGTTGCTTCCGAAGTAGCCAGTAGGCGGTTCCTGGGTCTTTTTGGGTTGCGGTTAGACACGGCATAAATAGCTTTGAAAGCGTCATCGGTCCGAAAAAAATGCCCAGTAGTAATCAGGTGTTCAAGAACGAAGCTATGGGTATCTTAACTGTACGGTGCTGTAAAGAGACGGGACAGTGTTCCGTTATCCTCTTAGACAAACGCCTGTTCGTCTGTCCGAGCTACCAGGCAACACAGGAGCAAGTAAACTGATATAAAACGAAAGGTTCTGAACGTACCGGGAGTCTGTCGTTAAGGCTTTTAGTGATAAACGTAATAGTCTCAAATAGAAGGTAGACTCTCGCAGCCGGATTTGTTTGGTTCACTGGGACGGACCATCTTGTGTTCAGTAACTCGTAGGCGATATCCCCTTTGAAAGGAACCGAAATGATGACGTCCTTTTTCTTTACCGTTGGTATTTCTTTAGGTTAATCCGAAACAGCAAACTTTTGTAGGCAAATGTCTTGGGATAATCGTTGTATTGTAGCTTTGTCAGCAAGAAATTCTTCTCAGCATCCAATTTTTCTGGACTGCCGATTTTTGCGGCGCGATAGTAATGACAGCGCATAAGGTTTCTCGGTTATTTCAAGGGCACAATACTAATGAATTGCGTGTACTAGCCCACCCACGCAGACTAGCAAAACACTCCCCTCTCAAGTAATCTGTCAGCCCGCCGCCGAAGTAACACGTCCAAAAATGTGACTTCACGGTCCTTCTCTATTACCCAACTAAACGTTAACGATGGATGCACACGGTTAAACCGGTTAAGTAGGTGGAGGTGATCAATCTATGGGTCGCATTCGATAAACATGTCGTCCAAGTATCGTCAAAAGGAATCAAGAGACGCGATGCGGTTCCAAATCTTGCCGCTCTCGCTTTTTGCGAGGAAAAATCGGCAGAGCGGCCCTAATGGGACCCAATTGCAACGCCGTCTATTTATCGCTAGTGGTTTCTATCGAACAAGTATTGTTTGTTAGAGGAGCAACGCACAAGTATTTCCTTTACTCGTTGGATCGGAATACCGATCTCAATGTTATTTTGCTTAGGTAATCGTAAATGTAGTTCAGCTAATTCATCATCCTCACTCCCAATCAGTAGACTTAGGCCAGTCTGGAAAAGCAACAGACGCCGACGTTTCGACCTCCTGGATCTCGTCAGTGGTGCGCCTCCCGGCAGATGTCCGCAGGGAGGGATGAAAGATATAGTGCTCAGTGAGAAGAATAAGTGAACAGACACCGGACAGTGTTTGTTAATTTTTCGCACGCTGAAACTTATGTAGTGCTTCCGAGTCTAAGTCTGGGGAATTTTTTTCATGTCTGCAACGAACGTTTTGTGTTCACCTTGAAACAAATCGCCTGGTTCCGTTACTAAGGCCGATTGTCTGTATGGGCCAGTTGGATAAGGTAACAGCTTTAGTGACAGCCAAGTACCTTTTGTATGTTACGTTAGGCTAGTTTAAGCGGGCAAGCAAAACTGCACCCTTCACACTCATACAACACTGCATCTGTCTCCCCCCCCCCGGGAAAAACATTGGCTTCGTCGTGAAATGAAGCTAGGCGCATGGCGGTTTATTCATCGGCATGCTAATGTTGCTGACTAGGTTCTTACGGAAAGCACGTTTCGCGGTAAGTTGTGACTAGAATTTCACTGGCATCCACCTTGGAAGGCACTGTGCAATTGCAAAGAGAAAATCGGCTACTTTCTTCCACGATTATCACCAAGCACAGCTGGAGTTGCAGACCTTGCGGGTCCAATTCGCCTGCAACCGTACGATATGTTAGCGTGATCCAGAAGGGGCTTCCCGATAACATCGGCTAGAAGGCTGTGTATTCGTAAAGCAGATTCTCTTTATGAATAACCGTGAGTCCTCCAACTCATGCGGATGCATGTCAATTCTTCGATTCACCAAGTTGATGCAGGAAATTTAAGTACTTGCTTTTCAGAGAAGTCGTATTAATTGATACATCTAGGTATTAGGTGTCCTGGTCTCATAATAACGGGTAAACATTTCAAGGGAGTGAATTCCATACCTTGTGTCGGCAGGTTCTCGTAATTTCTTATCTACGGTGCGTTACAAGTTGGTAAATTTAAAACAAAGCCAGTTTTCTGTGAAGACTTTATGTATTTGTGGGTACAAATAAACCCCTTAACACGTAACATTATATCTAACATTATACCCAACAGTTGGGAGTTTCTTTCTACCGATGCGAAGGCAAGCAATCATTACTGCTAAGTATGTGACCATTTCGGAATGATGAATGAACAAACTAGAATTACAGCTCACGCGTGTATTAGGTGACCTGCCGTTTCTGCTCCTGCCCGCTTCGTCCCACTTCACACAATCAGGCACAATGTTTTCAGGTCACAAATGTTTAGTGCGCAACCTGCTGACGGTTGTTTGCAACTTACAGATATTCAAGGCATGCAGTTGTTAATTTTACCGGTTCATCCCAGTTACACACAAGCTAGGTTAGTTTAAGCCAGTCTGGAATAGCACAAGACGATCGTTTCGTCCTATAAGGCTTTGCCGGTGGTGCGCATTCTATAGGTTTCGTACTGGGGATCGAACCCATACCGCTAGCTGCTCGAGCCAAGTAGTCAGCAGCTTATGCCACGGCGGTAGACCTTCTGAAGTTGTAGGTTAATTAGGATATAACGCAACACATCCCGCACTACCATGCATAGTCCTACTATCGCAGAGGACGATGGCTGGCCTCCGAGGTTGCGACTTCCACAAGCCAGTAGCCATGTCTGCTTAGCAATCGAAGACAATGAGGTGGAATATTTTAAATTACTGATGAAACAATCGTCTCGTGCGAGCTTGGTTATATAGTTCTGCTTCTCCGGATTAACAGCTTGTTCACGCATATTTCAGCTGTGGCCAATTGGACAACATTAGGTTATTCAGCGCTTTTCAACGCTTGGCAGCCACATTGGTGTGGGTTATGTGCATGTCAGGCGAGGCGGAACGTAGTCTTATCCATTTAGTCTCAGTGTCAGGTACATCGGTCGTGACAAGATATTTCGGTTAATTTGCCTTAAGCTTGCGAGAGTAAGGAACGTCCTGATTATCTATTTTCTGTTAAATCGGAAAGCAACTAGCTGGAACGGTCTACACCGTACCGTCGACCGGTGGCCGTGTGGTGTGTACACCTGGCTTACAATCAAAAGGTCACAGCTCCGAATCCGCGTAGGAGTGGGCGCTCTCACGATATGCTCAGCTCATGCGCGACTGGTGATGGTCGATCAGCAGCGAAGGGCCGTTATGGAACACAGCAGACATATTATTATTGTTGTTTGTATGAGTGATTAATGAGCTTTGGCTTGCCACCGAAGTCGTCATGTGGTTACATTTTTAGGCTGACTTAGTTGTATTGGCACAAAATGTTTTTTGGGCCCCATGAACGTTTGCACCTCATTGTGATTTCGTAACAATCTTTCTGATAGTGAGGAAGCTAGCTGCAACCTGATCACAAACGTTCAAACAATTATCCGAGTATAGGAATCATTATTAAGAAACCTAGCTGTGATTGGCTTAGGTTTGCACACACAACACTCATATATGATTGAAATTTCAATGCGTGCATTCGCCGGAATTTAGATTCTATACACGTAATGACCGTTTTAAACAGTGGCTTTGTTCTGTGCGAGATTTGTATAATTTGCTTCATGTTCTAATAGCGATAATAATCCCTAAGAGAATGGATAAACTTGTAATTTTGCAGAGGGACATTGTCCATACTAGCGAAATCTAGCTGCAAAGCACACATCTGCCAGTTATAATAGCTGACAGATATCTGTAGGTATCGGCGCATGGCAAGGGCAAACTGTCGTAGTTCAGGAGTTAAAGACGAGTAACTAAACTGTTGGAGCAAATACTAGACCAGAACATTCCCCCAGGAGGAAAATAAAAGACTGTAAATACGCCACCTGCCTTGCTAAATTCAAACGTACATCGAATAATGATTTTCTGATAGTTTAAATGTTAAAAGTAGCGAGTAGTTTAGCGGAGGAAATATATTTGCATTTGCACCACTACCTTTTTCAAAATCATTGCTTTTTGATGACCCGAATAATCTATATACCGATAATTTACACAGATGATTTCCATTCATCCCACTATTGTAGCCACTCTCACAACTGGGGGTAAGCACTATATGTGCATTAAAAGTATATCTCTATCATGATGCCATCATTGTTAAGGAATGTGATCAGAAAATTGTTGCAAATAGCTTCGAAATTTGTATTGACCCTTACCAACCGAAAGCACGCGTTAAAACATAGCTTTGCCTTCTGAATTTGCACACACGCATATTTACGCCGGCACGGGTAACGCAATGACGTCCCCAGATTTAGTCTAGCAATTAACGATGCTCGATGGTTTATTACTTGTGAAATATCAAGCGGCTAGCAAACCCGGTAAACTTACTAAAGTGAAGAGTAGTTCATCCAGATATTTACATGTTTCGGAGTATAATGCAATGGTTCATTACTGTTACATCTATTCCTGCCCGCAATATTTGGGCTATGTCATGTAAGCAATAGAACTTCTGGAAACGCCTATCCATCGATTTTTGAACAAAAGTAATTTGTAAGTGTTCGAGTGCTAAAATGATGGCGTCACTGATGAGGCTGGTCAGAAGCAAACCCGGTCAAGTAGCTAATACGCGGCCGGACAACATTTTCCTCCCAGAGATTGTAACGCATATAAACTGAGCCCTTAGAGATAAAAAATGCATCAGATTTATGCTGGTCTGTGACTTAAGCTATGGGTGGATTGTTCGAACTGACGGGACTGAATACTAAATACGATGTAACCTGGACCATTCTCTACTTCAGTGCATGCCACCAGCACAGGTGACAGGAGTGACCACCAGTAGCGTCAACATCCTTCACTATGTCATCATTGACTTATGGCATCATTGACCAGGCCTTGCGTCTACTAAGTGGCAACGATTAGTAAGATGGTTTTGATGTATTTGCAAAGATTAATCACAGCCAACTTGAGCTAAAAAGTCATCACAAATCTGCAAGACTACTGGTCGGCGATCTCATCGTCAACAACACCCATAGTTATCAACGCGCAGCTACCGCGTCTTACTGGATGGGTCAGGAGGGGGGATCCCCCAGCTTCTGTAAACGATTATACCAATAAGTACACCAGTCCGCCCATCTGATGCTTGGCATAAGTTACTTTGCTTTACATTCCCTTCATTTGCTCTTAATTCACGCAAAGTTATTTTATCTTGCAGGTTGCATGAGACGAACTAACAGTCGAGCATTTGTGATTGATCTATTGCTCTTGTTGCTGATCCCAATGGTGCTCATCTAAAGGACGAATAATTTAAAATTCCAAGGACAAATTACGTGGAAAGGAATCATAACAACAAATTGACAAGCCTTAAATTTACACACATAAATTTCATTGTGGTTTATTTACTCCAGTGCTTGCAAATTCTTGTGGAACTTTGTATTGTTACGCTTTGTACTAATTACATATGCTTCTTTATACTGTAAATTGGTCAGATACATCAACTTATCACCATTACTCTTTATGCAAGAAACGGATGGTCACTGGGTTCATGTGGCAATCTATAAAGGACATGCAATAAAGTTTCCTTTAATGCGGATTGTGACGACTGTTACCTACAAATTCTAGGTTGGTCCCGGCTGTTCAACGGCTGTTTTGCTATAGAAATTAAATAAATAGATAAACGTTTATTCGTTGCTTTGAGAGGTGTGCACATCAAGATATGCTAAGCAAACTTATTCGGGTACAATATGTTGAACATAAGAGGGTTAGGCAAATGTATAGAAAAACAAGCGAGTTGCAAGTCAAGTCAAAGGTAAGCTGTATGTATCCAGATAGGTACAGTTTCAGCACTTTACAATATGGACAATGGATGGGCTAAAGTTGCATTATTAGAGCTAAATTTGTAGGAATGGATAAAAGTCACTGTGTAGAAGTGCCACTAGGATGAACGATAGGTGTAAAAGCGCAACAAGCAAACAGTTCCGGACATAATAATTTAAAGCCAGCTTTGCAAACTAGATTTTCTAACGAAAACGTCCATATTTTCCTGCGCAATCATTTGAATTTTTCTCAATGAGTAGGAGGACAGCACCGGTGACCTTGGAAATAACCTGACGAATATCAAAGTTGACATAGTCTGAGAAAACTAATGTATTCAAAGCGGTATGGTAAAAATGGTATCCAGTGACAACGGCACAGCCTATTTAAACGCCCCGCCTAGGAAGGAAGATCACAAACAAGAGTCAAGACGTTGTCTGTAGAACAATTTTATGGTCACTACCGGTAAACAAGCGTAATATAGAAATAGAATTAAAGGTAAAAAGCCCCGATAGACTCAGGGCAAAGAGCGAAGTGAAGTAATACGGCCAGCCGTTACGGCGGGTCCGTTTGCTCGAAGCTGTTCGAACTTCAGGCATAACCGGGGAAGTGTAAGGAGTACTACCGTTGTCCAGGTTGAGGATACCTATAAATACAGAAGCGTAGTCAGGGTAAGAGGCAGAGATTTAGGCTTGCATGGTGCAGTGCCACTAAGTCCCAAGTCAGGAGGATTATACCCTACGTCAAGTCACGAGCGGAGACAACGATACAGCAGGCAAGAAACATTCAAGAGGTAAAAAAGTAGAAGAGGCGAGCTTAGCTGGTGAGCTGTAGACACTGAAGCACCCCATGCTATAGACGTGTGACTAGGGATTAGTCGGTCTTCTCTCCCATAGCTCGTTTTACGGCAGGGCATTACTTAGTATTACCAAGACTAGTGCTATACTTAAAAATCCCTGGAGTATTGTAGAATTATGCATTGTTCTCAGATAATCTACCTAGTAGAGGCAACCTTTTGCAAGTGCCTGTATATCTAGAAAGAAGGAAGTTATGAGGTGCCCCACAGAGTGTGGTTGACAAGTTGAATTGGTAGGTATCACTTCATAAATGTCATTGGGAAAAACTTGTTATTCAACATTAACATGTGAGGTTTGTGTCCGGAGTTATAGTTGTATTGAATAGAAATGTAAGTTTGCTAATTAGTTTGTGGAGCCATAGCAGATCTTTGCTCACTCGTTGACATCGGCCAAGATACTTCAGCATGAATAGGACTTGTAACCGTCAGTGAATAAACACTGTTCGTTTTGAGCACAGCCCTATGGATCTCAGCAAAGTTTGGAAGGTCTCTGGGACAATAGTAAGGAATCTGCCTTGCAAAGGATTTGTACAGTGTGACCCAAGGTGCCAAGAGTTAATTTGGTTGGAAGCTTTAACCGATTATTTACGTAGCTTTAGCTGCGTTGCATGTCAATTACCCCAAAAAGTTAGATAAGTTGGAATAATGCATTCTGAAGTGTCGAACAAATTGAGTAATGGTTGGCGGAGCGTTTGCCAGCAGTTGGCCGGCACAGTGCATTGGAAAGAAAGAATACTGCATTTTCTTGGCAAGGGTAGTATCTTTCAGATTTTATGTGCGATAGGATGACTTTGTAGGTATGCAAGGCTATCTATCATGCCACTTGGGTCAATTGCAAGTGCGACCTTTAGGTCGTCAGCGAGAATTTATGGTGTACTTCAGTGGAACCCTTGGAAGATGTCGTTCATGTATAGTAAAAGCAGCAGAGAGCGCAGGACGTTCACTTGGAAGACTGAAACATTGATCATTTTTCGAAAAGACGTGAGACAGCCTAGATGCAAAGAGTTTGTTTGAACTGACAAGTAGGAGGAACATCTGAAGAGCTGCTTGACAGATATAGCAAATGACTCGAGCTTCGTCAGTAATTCGACGTGTGGTACCAACGGACTGCCTTATTCACATCGAGGAAGAAGGCGCTTAGCCAACGTCCTAACTCCAAAGCATCTGTAACGTTGCTTAGGAACAACAACATACATATCTGGGCGGTTCGCCCGCTTTTTCTGCAGTAACTATATGACGCCAAACACGCTCATTGCTCTTGACATACTCCCACTAGACATGAGCTAAGCTGCGAAGTCATTGATGTTCGAAATTGACTAGCCCCTATATCTGTCGACTAGGTGGGCCAGGTTTCACAACCGTAATGAATGGGTTGAACGAGTAGCTGCATTGAAAAATCTCCTCTTCAGGGCGAGGATGATATCATGCTGGCGCCAAAGGTGGCAGAGATTGGAAAAATCGCCTCGCGCTGATTCTATACGGTTTGTGATCGCACCTACAGCTTCACTGGCGCTGGTACGGATGACCAGATAATTGAAATCTGGGATAACTTCTAGTTGATCACCACCAAGTGTCAGCGCAGGGGTAGTGCCCTGTGTATCTTTGAAAAGTTTGCAATTCGAAGGTCTACAACATGTCTCCAAAAAACTGACCGCCAGAGCCAGTGTATCCAGTGCAGCTGGAAAGTTCGGGAGGCGTCAGATTTTTGGGTAATGTCGTCTGCGTACTCCAAGTCGAGAAGCTGGGAGTATTTCCAAAGCTTGAAGGTGTGTCCAATGACTGTGGTCTCCATGACATCGGCAATGGATAAAAGAGGCAGGGGGTATCCTAGTCACACCGCTGGAGAAATTGAAAGGAGGGGACAGCATGCCGTAACCCTCACTCTGCCAGAGCTAGGCGCGTAAAGCATTCTGACAATGTTTCCGTATTTTTCTAGCAGTCTCCGAGTGCACATCGATCAACCAAATCAATGGCACATTTAATGTCAAGAAATACGACTACAGTAGCTCGCCGATAGATGTGCAGTCGCTGAAATGATTGACGTAATGTGATGAGAAGGTTAATAATGTAGCCAATAGACGAAACCCGACTTGTGCCTCACGAAGCTGACTTTTAGGGCGTTGCGATTGGCTGTCCTGAGCCCACTCTGGTTGGTTGCAATTCGCTCAAAGCTAAATGATCAATCGACTGACCTTTGAGAATCGTTCGTTGTCATACTTAACGGTCGTAACTCCCTCTTTTACCTCATGCAGTTTATGTCCGCTACTGCTGCGTTTCTGTGACTCAACACTTGGCGTCACGAGTACCACCATCAATCTTTCAATTCAGCTTCCATCAGCATTTTGGGTTACTTGTGGAAACGCCTAAGTTAGTCGCCTACCATTGCTTGCCAAAGTTGTATTCACGAAATAGTTAGACTTACTTACTGGTCTAAAGTCTCTAATCAGCGATGAAAACGAACTAAAGCTGCTTTGCCACTTTCTCAGAGCTAAGGGGCTGCGAAATCTTGTTGACCTAGACCTCAAAGGATGCAAAATAGCCACCGGTACATTCAATGATCACCATCGCATTTGCAGTTCCCAAGTGAAGCTGTTCAATTCAACGTGTGATGGTAGTATCGGAACAGAATGAGTAGATGGACCAACCGAGCGAACCAGACGGCCAGTGGGAGGTGGACATGACGGATTAGATTACTGGACTCGGATTGGTCGATATTTGTGCAAACGATTCACCGTTTGTTTAACTGAAGCAAAGGAAAAACTCCATCGACTCAGAAAGGCCGCTAGTTATGGACTTGAACCCGCAATTTATATCGAGGAGTTTGGCTTGCTAAACGTGCTCTAATTTTCGCTAAGCTGTCCTTGACGAATAAACGCTTGCCTCTGAAGTAATGAGGTCTGTAACCTGGAATCAGGGAAGACAAAGACGAACCCCACCGGCGGCGAGCAGATGCTGTTTGGATCACATCCGTCTATCCAAATGTCTGCCCACTGAACAGGGATGCATGGAAATTGGCGAGTAATCGACGTCTATGGAAGTGCAAGTGGGAGGATTCCTGTATCTTAGTACGCTCGGACAAACAGCCGATGCCATATCGCTTAGCCATGTTACGACAAGCAGCCGGGGATGATGCGCGCCGTATTCTAGAGACAATGCGCTACGACAACGGCGAAGATCCCAACAATTTGGAGAGGTCATTTGAAAGTTCGGTGAATTTTGTGAGGCTCAAACCAACGATACCTACTAGCGCCATCTTTTCTTTTGAGCAACAGAGGTCCAAACGTATCAGTAGCAGCGAATATCATTGAATTGAAGATTTTGGCTCAGCCATATAATTTTTGTAAATGCTTGGGTGACAGTCTCACGCGCGATCGGATCTTTCGAGGAATCAATGGAGAAAATACGACAAAGCAGCTTTTACAACAACGCAACTTATCGCTCCAGCAGTGCATTGATACCTGCAACATTGAGTCCGCGAACACCCATCATTAACGACAAATGAATCTCTTAACAGGTGTAGAATTGTGTGCCGTTTCCGGAGGTGAAGCAGCGAATGCTACTAACGTGACAGGAGATCTGCAAATTTTGCGCCACGCGACTTCCGAGGATCAGCGTACAGTGTCAG